GTAGCCCAATATAAATGAGTTTCATTACCTTCTGGCCCCAGCTGTTTCCCTTTTAGCCTTGAGTGTTCAAAAAAAGAGATTGAAAATAATTAGTTATAATAGAACAACATCAGTAATGCAAGAAATTAATACATGAAATTAAAAAATAATACTTGAGAACAAAATCAACATAATAGAATGAAAGATCATGTGACATATTAGCCCTACTATAGAATGCAGATACTTTAAATTGCAATAATGTAATTTTACTTGTATTTTGATCATCTATTTTCAAATAAGTGAGTAAAAGTTTCTATAGTAAAGGATTCCAAATGAAAGAAAAAACAAGGTGTAACTGTTGGAGTGATTTGACATGCAAATCATTCATTTGCAAATCATAAAGTGTGACACGTCCGTCTCACTCCAGGAGTGTACAGTCAGAGTCATTGTGTGTAAACCGAAAAGTATTTTATCTTTGACATGAATGAAAACGACGCTGTTGCAGATGTAGTTCAGTGTATTTAACTGTTCTGTCATTTAACAGCATACAATTTTTAAGAGGAAAGAATGCAGCACATAAACTCACCGGCCACTTTATTAGGTACACTTTACTAGTTCCATGTTGGCCCCTGTTTTGACATGGCATGTTATTCTGCTGGAAGTAGCCATCAGAAGATGCGTAAACTGTGGTCATAAAGGAATAGACATGGTCAGCAACAATACTCGGGTAGGCTGTGGTGTTGACACAATGCTCAATTGGTTCTAATTTCCCCAAAGTGTGCCAAAAATATCCCCCAGATCATTACACCACCACCACCAGCAGCTCACTGTTAATACATGACAAGATGGATTTACGTTTTCATGTTGTTGATGCCAAATTCTGACCCTACCATCCAAAAGTCGCAGCATAAATTGAGACTCATCTGACCAGGCAACATTTTTCCAATCTTCTGTTGTCTAATTTTGGTGAGCCTGTACCAATTGTAGCCTCAGTGTCCTGTTTTTAGCTGACAGGAGTGGCACTCGGTGTGGTCTTCTGCTGCTGTAGCCAATCTGCTTCAAGGTTGGCCATGTTGTGCGTTCAGAGATGCTCTTCTGCATACCTCGGTTGTAACAAGCTTATTTGAGTTACTGTTGCCTTTGTATCAGCTTAACCCAGTCTGGCCATTCTCCACCTCTGGCATCAACGAGGCATTTGCGCACACAGAACTGCTGCTCACTGGATATTTTCTCTTTTCCTGACAATTCTCTGTAAACCCTAGCGATGGTTGTACCTAAAAAATCCTGTAGATTAGCAGTTTATGAAATAATAACAACCATGCCACATTCAAAGTCACTTAAATGACCTATCTTCCCCATTCTGATGCTCGGTTTGAACTGCAGCATATCTTCTTGACCATGTACATGCCTAAATGCACTGAGTTTCAGCCATGTAATTGATTAGAAATTTGCGTTAACCAGCAGTTGGACAAGGATACCTAATAAAGTGGCCGGTGAGAGTATATTAAGGCTATTCATCATTGTTCTTATCAGCTTGTCTGTGGGATTAGATTTGTGCCAAAGAGAATTAACTACATTGAAAATGAACAAAAGTGTGTAAATCAGAAAAACTGAAAATTTAAAAAAGTAAATGAACTAAATAGCAAAAAAAGAGTAATGTTGGCTTATAATGAACTACATTCTTTGTTAACGGTCTCTAATTCAAAATCTCACAAACCAATCAGAGAAGATGAGAGGTTTGTGCCAGTACATCTCTAAAGCACAAACAAAAAACTGGAAAAGGGAAATGCTGGCAGTGCATTCAGAACTGTGAAAGGAAATCTGAAAATAATTAACAAATAATGCAGTTTATTTAAAGACTTTTTCCTTATTTATCAATGTATATTTCTGTTCGTTTCACAAATGTTTCATTTGTTTTATTTGGCACAAAATCTTTTTTTTTTTTTACCTAACGAATGAGAATAGATGATGAAATAGAACTAATGAAAGAGAACTTAGCTTGTACAGTACAGTACATGTATGCACAAGTGCAAGCATGAGCAATAACTACTGACTGCAGTTCACCTTTTGACCAATAACAAAGATTTCTAAATTCTAGACCTTTAATTTCAAAATGGAACTTGATAGTTCTCCCAAAAATGTCAATTCTGTCATCATTTACTCATCCTTCTCTTGTTCTAAACATGTTTGAATTTCTTTCTTTAACCACTGACTTCCATAATATTATAGTGTTTGCATGGTACATAACAATTGATTTTCCTAAAATGGATGTCAACGTTTACCGGTTTTTAGCTTTCATCAAAATATCTCCTATTGTTATGTTCAACAGAATAAACACATATAAACGTTTGGAAAAAAATAAAGGTGAGTAGTGAGTAAATATTCATTTTCAGGTGAACTATCCCTTCAAGGCCTAACAGAATTTGGCATATCATTAATTTCATTTAATCATCATCATCATTCTTCTTCTGCTTAGTTCATCAGGGTCGCCACAGTGGAATGAACCACCAACTTATCCAGCATGTTTTACACAGCGGATGCTCTTCCAGCTCCAACCCAGTATTGGGAAACACCCATACACACTCATTCACACACATAGTGTGTGGCAATTTAGTTTATTCAATTCACCTATAGTGCATGTCTTTGGATGTTGGGGGAAACCGGAGCACCCGAAGAAAACCCACACTAACACCTTGAGAACTTGTAAACTCAACACAGAAATGCCAACTGACCCAGCTGGGACTCACACCAGCGATTTTCTTGCTGTGAGGCAACAGTGCAAACCACTGAGCCACCATGTTGCCCTTAATTTCAATTAAGTCAAATGAAAGTCTTAGTTATCAAGTGTTCAAAGTCTAAAGGCTAATAAAAATGTTAACCCTTTATCAGGGGAAAAACCATCTTATAGTATACATGATTACAACAAATACATTTTTAATCATAAGTTTTATATCAACCCCCAGTAATACTGTGTGTTTCAGCTGAGTATTTTAATGAATGCATTATGAAGGGTTAAATTAGCATATTCCATTAACAAAGACAACATTTCTGAACATTGTTTAGTGTTGTTTATCTTTAAACTGTGTGAGCAATTTACCAGTCTACCAGCAGTGATGTGAAACAGGTGTAGGCCTATATATCTGAATAGTTATTACTGGATGAGGTTTTCTTTAGGGTACCATGGTAACTAATCCATCCACAGGCAGATGTGAGCAGGACAGCTCGTGCAGGTGCCATGACATCTGCTCAGATAATGTGCCCTACACGCTTCTGCTGAACACAGCCATATAGAGACAGACTCCATCTAATCTACTGCCAACGGCACAGAGAGGGAGAAAAAAAACGTAATTTGCATTTTTAACAGTAACTCTTTTAACTGCCACATAGCCAAAAGGCATTGCCTGTCCAGTCCAGCAGGTACAGTATAGTTGCTTCCTGAGTGCTCCATAGAATACAAAAGTTGTGCTTTACTAATTCAGAAACAATACACATACGTGTGTGTGTGTGTGTGTGTGTGTGTGTGTGTGTGTGTGTGTGTGTTCGTGTGTGTGCATGCGCATGTGTGTGTATATAACTTTGTAGTGTATAGTTTATACAGTTGAAGTCAGAATTATTCACCCCCCTTTGATTTTTTTTTCTTTTTTAAATATTTCCAAATGATGTTTAACAGAGCAAGGACATTTTCACAGTATGTCGGATAATATTATTTCTTCTGGAGGAAGTCTTATTTGTTTAATTTCGGCTAGAATAAAAGCAGTTTTTAATTTTTGAAACACCATTTTATGTTCAAAATTATTAGTTCCTTTAAGCTAAATTTATTTTTGATAGTCTACAAAACAAACCATCATTATACGATAACTTAATTACGCTAACCTGCCTAGTTAATCTAACCTAGTTAAGCCTTTAAATGTCCCTCTAAGCTGTATAAAGTGTCTTGAAAAATATCAAATAGTATGTACTGTCATCATGGCAAAGATAAAATAAATCAGTTATTATGAGTTATTAAAAGCATTATGTTTAGAAATGTGTTGAGAAAAGCTTCTTTCCGTTAAACAGAAATTAGAGAAAATAATGGGGCTAACAATTCAGGGGGGCTAATAATTGTGACTTCAACTGTATATAGGCCTATCACTTTTTATAAACCCCTTAACTGTTACTGTCACAAAGTTAGGTCATTTCGCAATACTTAAAGTATAAACCTGAACATTGAATATATACAATAGTTTAACAATGCAGAATATTGTCCATTAAATAATTCTGAGAAGATTAAATATGTCACCAGCTGCCTTCTTTATGAAAAGTAAACATTTTGACAAGGACATTTAGTGAGGAACTTCACACTCTGTCATAAAAAATGGGACTTTAATTGTCTGAATATACACTGGAGAAAATGCAGAGTTCCACACATTTCATTCATGTTGTCCCAACACAAATTAAGTTAACTTAACATTTTTAACAAATTTGTGGATTGAACATAAAACAATTAACTTGTCCCATGAAATCTGAAGAATTGTGTTTTTCAGCTCATTTTAATTAAGTAGTTTGAATGAGCAAAAAATATAAATAATGAGTGCACAAAATGTCCTTCCAATGCAAATTAATTAAGTTAACTTAAGTTAACTTAAAACAATTTTAAGTTAATTAAACAAAAAACAATAAAGCTGTCCTAAAAAAACTCAAGAATTTTGTAGGCTAAATTTATTACACAAATAAGGTAACATTATTAAATAAGACAATACATAAAATGATATACCCTTGCAGACAGTATAAGTGCCACTGGTAAAAACAATAAGCATAATTCGTGAATTCATAACACACGATATAACCGCGACATTTGTAGGCCTATCTTATATTATAATCCTATAGTTTCACAAGTAGTCATTCCTCAAAGCAAATCAACACATTGTACTGTGTTTTAACACATTGTACTGATAGTTTCCATGTGTTAAAGCTCCAGTAAACAGCGGGACAACAGTAGTGATGAGTGCCGCCGCTGCTCTGCTGTTTTCCTGCCGAGTGTCTGCATCTGCGTAACGCGAGCCGAACGAACAAAACCCTTTCATCTGCAGGCATTGTGCGTGTGGCTCAACGTGAGACAAGTACAGAAAACACAATTAACATCCATCCTTTACGTCCATTCATTAGTTCGTTAGCAGAGTTAAGCTTCTGATATTGCCCCTGCATAGACACAACCAAAAAGGACAAATCATCATTTTTGTGCAGAGAATGATTAAATGGGGCTACTTAAAATGTTCCCAACACTTTAATTACCTTACCGTGTGATTCGTCGTTATCATAGCTGTAGCCTACTGCTGATGAGCACAGACCTGCGGCCTTTGGCTTTATAGTGTCGGTGTGTTGAACGCATTGATCTGCTCTGTGTCTCCAGCGCGCGCAGCTCTGTCGTGAACACCTGTCACACGGCACTTTCCTCTCATCCAATATTGACACAGGGAGTCAAATGGGAGGGCCAAAGTAAATGACTTCTCTCTATTATGTCAATCAAGTCGCTCTGTGCAAACCGAGCTCGCGTTTAGCCAAGATAAAACGCGGAGTGGGAGACATCTGGAGCGGATGAGCGCGAGAGGTCAAACCACACAGGTGACCTCTTGAACCAGCACAGGTAAATCTGCAAATGAAGATTTCCTAACATAGGTTTCATAGGTTCATGTTATTTTGGACATCTTCTTTGTATAGCAACAACTTCATTTTGTAATAACCAGGAAAAATATGCGCTAGCACTCACAAGATCAATACAAAAAGACAACAAAGAACATGGTACAGACCCATAGCCAGGGGGGTTCAGATGGTTTGGCAGACCTACCCCTCACAGACAAAAGTCCAGAATTTGTCCCATACATGAGCTCATTTGTCCTATTTTTACTGCTATGCCATCATAAATAGTAAGAATAACTAATCGAAAAAAGTTTTAAGGCCAAGTGGAATCCTCTATCGGCAGTGTGACTTCAGCTAATCAGCTTTGGCCAATGCTGACAATTATATTTCATGAGTCGAATATAGCTGTGCAAGAAAACATACAATCAGATGTAAGTGAAGTTATCTTTTGCTACTGTATTTCTTTTAAATAAAATATTTTACAAGTAACTTTTATTCTAAATCTTGGACCTTATTCTTAAAACAAAAAAAAAAAAATGACCAAAAAGTTGTAAGGCACCCAAAAGCTGCCCATATTAAAATCCACTTAAATACTAAATTGGCTATTGTTGTTATCCATTAATTTTCAAATTTACTTTATTACAAGAAAGGCTAAAGTTGTGAATTGTGTATATTATTAATTTAAAATGGTGCTTAAAATGTCACTAAAAATATTTTATTCTCAAAAATAAATAAAATTAGGGGTGTAGCTGAAAAAAGGTCCACTTTTTGAAGGACTACTCCTTTCACCAGGCTGTCTACATACATGTGTTTTTTCCTATTTTATTGTAAACGCGTCTCATTGTTTGCTGTTCATTCGCTCTAGGAGCATAGATTTAGCATGGACCGAGGGTCCCCACCAATATCACCAACTACAGAAATGCCACCACCAATAATTTACTTTGTGCTGTCAATATTAAAATAGACATGCAAAAATGGGTAAATCACTTTTATTAATACCTATATGACACATGTTTCATTTGCACTATAGCTAAAATAAACAGAAGTCTTTAAATGAAGTCTTTATTAAACTTTATCAGTTAATAAACATTACTTTAAAGTTATAATTGAATTTAATAAATTGTATGAAGAGAAGATTAATTCATAATATATTTTAATAGCATTATTATTATGTAATTTGGGGGTTGAATTCACCAGTCCCCACCCATGTCAAAAGCAAACCTACGCCCTTGATCCAGTCCCTTGGGAAAATTAATAAAAAGTTTATATTAAGAAAAGAAACTGGCTTAGTTAATCCTTATTAACCACTGAATCATCACATTTTAGACATGTAGCCTTTAGTGAAACTTGTTAGGTTACTACTAGGCATGGGACGATAATCGTGGTCAAGGTATACTGTGGTTTGGAAAAGTCAAGGTTTTAAAACTGTCAACATTTTCTGCAATACCTCTCCTAATGTATGAGTGAGATTTTTTATTTACATTTGTATTATTTTCTTTATTTTTAGGAAAGCTATATCTCCAGCAGAAAAATATCCACAGATGCTGTTTTAAATTGTAAAGAAATCTGTGTTTTTGAAATAAATGACAGCAGAAGTCAATAATTCATTTGAATTGTTAGCCTGGCAGGTTTACTGATTCAAAATATTTTCAATGTTTCTCAAAATAAAATATATTGTGTGCAAAGGGGAGGTTTTGTTCCTTACCCAGACATTAAAAGAATATATTTTAGAGCAGTAATCTCAATACTGTGATACCATGATATTTATATCCAAGGTTATCATACCGTCAGAATAACGGCCCATGCATGCCTTACCACTGTTACTATAATAATCAAATTTGTCAGTTTTTTTTTCCTGTGTGTGGCCACTTAATTTTAAAAGTACAAAACATAATTTTCTACATACAAACCACAAGTTAACTAGCAATGATAAGAAGAATTCGTCCAGTGATTAACTGTAATTAATATTTAAGGCGGCATTTTAAATTAGGCTGCATGAACAGATTGCCTTTTTTACCAACATCAACACAGCACTCAGAAATGACTTTTGCTGCCTGTTCAAATTACCTTTATAAAATGACGCACTTAAATTTTACAACTTAATTGTTTGTTAAATCCACTTAGTTTTTTAGATTGATTAACTTGATCAATTTGTATCGGGACAACATGGAATTGTGTAAAACCTGCTTTTTTTTAAGTTTTCAGTATTTGTTTTTCTTATAAATTCAATACTTTCACAGATCCAAATATCAACTTCCAGACCTCTCTTTTCATAAAGTAATGTGAATAACTCAAATATGAGCTAAAAGCTTGAAGAGTTTTTTCTTTATGACCCTTTAAAAATATATTTCACACTTTGTATTTTATTTCCCATCTCCTTTATGATTTATTTTGTTGTAATTATTTATTAAAAACGGCTTTTAATGTGCTACTGTTAAATGTTTTTGAGCATAAAAAAACTGAAGCACTTCTGCCCTCTACTGGCTTTGACAAAAAAAAAGTATGAATAGAGCTTTACAAAATGCATCTTCAGTGATGACAAGGTGGCAAGACAGTACTCACTGTTTATGATTAAGGAGGAAGATTGGGTAGTTAGGAACTTATTAAATTTTATATATTAAAGTAATTATCTGTATAGCTTCACTAATATAAGGTTTGGGGTCAGTGAGACAAAAAAACAGTTATATTCATTAAAGACACATTAACAATCAAAAGGGATAGAAGATACATATATAAGGTTACAAAAAAAAAAATCACTACAAAAGCATCAAATTTTACTAAATATTAAGCATCCAAAAAATGTTTCTTAAGCACAAAAATAAATATATTCAAGCTTTCTGCAGGTTTTAAAAAGTTAAATTTAAGACTTTAAGACCATTATGAATGACATTTTACCCATAAATGTCTAAAAGCTAAGGAATTTTATTTAAATGGCCAGATAGAAAATACACACACACACAAACACATTTAACAATACAAGAATTAATAATAACAATTGAAATATTTTAGATATTTCTTAGCAAACTATTTTAAATATTGTGTAAAAAAAAACAAAAAAAAAACAAGCACTACTTGCATCATACATTTTTCCAACATAAACTTTCTTTAAAATAAAAAAAAAATGAACAAATGTTTTAAAGGTTTTAAAAACTATAAACTAAATCTATGCAAATTTTGTAAAAAATCTATGCAAAAAATTGTACAATTTTAAACAAATGTTATTGTTGGGGGATTTTTTTAAACAATTATGATGAAGTCAAAAAGTACCCTTTAAAATAAAAAGTTAAAGTTTTATTGAGATGTATTGTTGGTGATTGTATGGGTTTTGGCTAGATAGGGGTAGCAACACATTAAGAAAAATTAAGACCAGTTAAAAAAAAAAAAGATTTAACCTCTTAAGGCCCATGCAAGGTGTTTTTTTACATGCATTTTCTATTTCTCTTTGCTATTTGGGCTTATTGCAACCTAATTAGAATAAAATCTAAGTATCATCTGTTGATATGATGTACTTTTAAAGAAAAATTATGTTCACATATGTGGACTCGTGGTCCAAATTTACTTTAAACACTTTTTGCTGACTGTTTTTTAATGCATATAACAATTTTTTTTTGTACTTGCTTTGACTATCATAGAGTAAAAACAACATTTCTTCCCATTTTAAAAGATAAAAACAGTGTTTGGGATATTTCATATGCTGCAAAACAGTTGCAGGATGACACTGTATGTCTGTAACAAAATATAACACATTTAAAGTATTTTAAATAGACACTTGAGAGCTGAAATGTGCGTATGTGGACACTCAATCCCACAATTATTGAGTAGATTTAAGACTTTAAGGCCTAAAAACTTAGATTTTGGGATTTTAAGACTTTAAGACCCCACAGATACCCCTCATTTTGACTTATGAAGAATCATGTGAGACAGAAGACTGAAGTAACATTTTTTAAACGACACTTTTATTACGACGTGTTTGAACACTTCATAGCACCAACTGTACAAAACATGGAGGGTTGGTAATAAAGTGGATGGAATGACTAGGCAGTGAATGAAGCACACGTAAATCTGCTGGACCTGAGTTTCTCTTTCTCTGAAGGTTTGATTAGCTGGCCAGTGAGAGTCTTTTCAGATACGCCTCCCAGCCCGCCGTCCTGTATTCTCCTGCAGCTCTGAGTCGATCTGGACTACCTAGAATACCTCGTCCCACAATGATGATATCAGAGCCTTTAGTGCAGATCACATCTTCTGGGCTGGAATACTGCTGGCCAAGCCCATCTCCTGGAAAACAAAACAGAACTAAATTAACAATTACACAGGTACTTGATCCATGAAAAGAAGGAAAAATAAAGTAAAGATTACTTCTTCTAATGGAGAGTACAGTTGACAGCCCTGATGAGCAACTACAGAGCTATTTTTCTCTAACCAGATGCTTTGTCCGAATAGGTAACCAAAATAAATGATGGTGTCTTGAGAAAGCCTTGTCTGAAAGTT